TCCTAGGGTCTCTATGGAAGTGTTATAGTGGCAGGAGGAAACACGCTAATACAGAGCTTTACTGACAGATTGAATAGAGAGCTCTCTCAGAAAACTCCCCCAGTAAGTTTTGTTTGTTCTTTGGTAGTAGTCTTCAGTCTTGTGTGTCCTCATCGCTGGTGTAATCTTATAGATAAGGTTTGTTTTTCAGTAGTAGATTGGTATTTTGTGGTGCCTAATACAGTATTACCTAAAAAAAGGTTAATAGCCCTTGTTACTTGAATTTTCAGATGACGTCTTTTCATAGATGACTCTTGTACTTGAATCTTTTATTCAATGATTCCATATTTAAGTACCTATAGACTGCTGGGCACTAGGGGATATAAACTATAATCGCTGCCCACTAAGGGCTCAGTCTGCTAGGAGGAATAGACATGCATAAAGACTGTAACGTGCTAAGTGGTTTTAGTAGGTCATGAACCAGGCACTCTAGGGAACACTGTAGAGCGAGCACTTAACTCCCTCATGAAGAAACTGAATGAATAGGAGTTCAACTGGTTGGTAATTTATGAAAGGACATCTAGGTGGAGGGAATGCCACGTGCAAACTATGATGGGAAGATGGCATATTCTAATATTTCAACGTAGTTGGCTTAGTCTGTGCAGAAGTGGGAAGAGTGATATGGCTGGGAAGATGGATGGTGTATTAATTTCCTAGGGCTGCCATAACTACCACAGACTAAACTGGGTGGCTTAACACAACAGGAATTTATTCTGTTCTGGAAGCTAGAAGTCTGAAATCAACATGTCAGCAGGCTCTCCTCTCTCTGAAACATAGAGATAGAATTCTTTTTTTCCCTCTTAGCATCGGATGGTTTGCGAGGAATCCTTTGGTGATTACTGGTTGCAGTTCCAACACTTCAGTCTGTCTCCATTGTCATAGGGCAGTCCTCTCCTGTGGGTCTGTTCTCTTCATTATAAAAACTCCTGTCCTATTGGATTAAGGGCCCATTTTGCTCCAATATGTCCTTAATTTGTATCCTAATTACACTTGCAAAGAACCTATTTCTAAATTAGGTAACATTCACAGATACCAGGGATTAGAACTTCAACATATCTCTTTGGGGGACACAATTCCACCCACACAGATAGGTACCAGGTCATGTTGCTTATTAATAGTGAACTTTTGGGATAAAATTTGGCAGAGGACTGCAGAACGCCTATGTTTGTTTTAAAAAGATCACTGGGTGGATTGTGACAACTTTAAAAAGGATTTTAAAAGGATTAGAAGAACGTGGTTTGGGGAGAAGATCTGGTACACATTGATAACAGAGTAGTAGTCATAATCTTTAGATTTTAAAACTTCTTATCAAGTAGTTTTTTGTATGTTACTCTGTACTAGTTATTACATTAAAAGAAACTTATTAAGGGTTACATGGGCCCTAATTGTATCTACAGAATTTGTATTTTTGGGAGTCTTTTTTGTTTCTCATAAAGGAACATTTTATATATGGCGCATTTTTAGAATTCTTATTTTTAAGTTGTTATATTGTTATTTAAATATTGATAATAGGCACAGGATTGACACCTGACTTGTATTTACTACATTCTTGGAGATATAGTCTGACCTGGAAAAGACCTTAATTGGATTTGATAGGGAGTCCCAGAATAATGAATATATAGACCTGGGCTGTCCAAGGTCTGGTCAAGAGCAGTTAGGTATTATCCTTGTCATTTAGGAGGCAATTAAAAATCAATGCAATAACAGGGAAAAAAATTTCCTTGTGATCGATATCAACCAGTTCCTCACCTACAAAAACCCATGTTCATCCCTCCTGCTCCCAGCACCCCCTCCCTCCTGTATCACATATTCTACCCCCAAAACATACACATTTATTCACTGTGAAAAAGACTCAAACTATGTGTTCATATAAAATAATAGGGAAGTACCAACAATTTGAGAACGTTCCCCAGAAACAAAGTCCTAGGTAGGGGAAAGATCTCCCGATATAGGGAGACAGGGACAGTACTGAGCCATAAACTGTGTTTATCAAGAGAGTTCAAAATACAAACACTAATTTGGGAGGAAATCAATATGAATAAAAAACTTAACCTGAAATCTGATGTCTGCATTTTGATTTGGAAGTGGAGGGGGGTGGAGTGACCTTAGAATAGGAAGGATTAGGACAGCGTGAAGGCCTAAAAAAGTAGGAGCTAGCAAGTTGAGGAGGATTATATAGAAAGCGTAGCAGGCTGGGATGATAGATTTGGTGTTAGAAGAAATGAAATAATATATGAAGCAGTTAGCATAGTATCTGATTTGTAAGTATTCAGTATGTGTTTGCTATTCTAGGATATAAACTGTGAGTGCCATACTTTTTAGTATGCAGTTCCTAAGGTTTATATAATTTATTATTAAATATTATACATTAAAAGCCACAAAGTAGTTTAGTCAAAATACATTATACAGTAATTCATCCCATGCCTACTATTAGCCTAGCTGTTGCAAAATAACCACACATAATTGGTGTTTGAAAGTCATTAGGCAGTCATCAAAACTGAATTTTCTGAATTGAGTCATGTTTTGATTGTACTAATACTTATTTTTCCCTCTCTATTTTAGAGTATGCGGTTGAAATTGATTGCAAATAATACAACAGTTGAACGGAGGTTTAGTTCATGGATTGGAGGCTCGATTCTAGCATCTTTGGTTAGTAAACTGAAAAATAGTCTTATTGAATGATTTAACTTAAGTGTACCAGTGAATATAGTAAAAAGATAAAATAATTCCAGTGCATCATTTATCTCTGTATTTTGTAACAGATGAGTAGAGGACCTAATAATACCAGTTTCACATGTTCTAATTTAACAAAATGCTTCAGTGTTTTATCAGTGGCTATTTGTCAGCCGATTTTCAATTTCCCTTCTCAAAGGTGGGAATTTACTAACTTACGCCTCTTCTCATACTCCCATTGGCACTGGTCAGGACTTCTCTGTAGCACACTTAAAATTAAATCATTCCTTCTCAGGTCCTGGTTGTTGCTCCCTGGCCTCTTGGGGAGGTGGAGGAAATCAGGAGTTGGCTCTTGGGGCAAATGGTGAAGTCATGGTGCTGGGTTTTGCATGTTGCTTTGACAGGTGCTTGCTTTGAATCAGGAGAAAAAGTCCTTGTACTTACCTGCAACCCTAGACTGGGGAGAATTTCCCCTTCACCTCAGAGCAGCCAAAGTAAATGTCATGAAGTACTTATACTAAACATTTTTAAGCTAGTAAATGTCTTCTTATGTATTTGTTCTATTTGCAGTCTTTTACTGGATCTTAGATCAAAATGGAATACCACACACGAATCCACTTGAATAGAGTCAATCTTAGGGAATGAATTTGTCCTACTTATATGTTTTATTACTAACGTAGCCTAGGCTCTTTCCTCCTTGGGTCATTTTCCTCCTTTCCACCGTCTATAGTGCCTGTGTACTATCAAGTGTGTACTTGCAAAACTTTATCCTAGTCCTGATAGATGAGCACTTTTGAGATCTAAGTGCTGCCGTTAGTCAAGTGCTAGGGTATAGCTCTTCAGTTCTGTACTAGGATCAAGCCTTCCAACGACAGTTTCTATTGTTGTCATAAGTTGGCAGCAAGCCATCATAGCTAAACCTCCCATCTTCCTGTCACAGCCATTTTCTAAAGCCTCAGGGTGAACAGGTAGACTTAATATTCTTTCCAAATAGTGTCTTTGGGTGTTCTGGAGGAGGGCTGAAATAGGGGAGTGATGGACTATTTAGGGGAGGGGCTTAAGGGTTCTTTAAAGATTGGGAGCTGTGAAAAGATATAATACAAAGGCACAATATATAACTTTTCTTTCCATTTTATAGGGTACCTTTCAACAGATGTGGATTTCCAAACAAGAATATGAAGAAGGAGGGAAACAGTGTGTAGAAAGGAAATGCCCTTGAAAAAGAGTTCTCAAAGCTCTACCTTCCTGTGTCACCTTAAGTTTCATAGCTTTAGTATACTCAGGAAAAGAATGACCATCTTTTGTAGAATGTTTATACATTTTTGCATATTTCAATTTCCACTTAAATTTTTTAAGGCTTTAACTGGCTCTATAAATTAAGATAAGTTTGTGCTTTCCTTGAAATGCACTTATTCTTATTACAAGCATTTTATAATTTTGTATAAATGTCTATTTTCTCTAAATATTTTGCTTTCAGTAAAATGCTTTCCAACTCTGTTTAGTATGTCAGTTACCAGTGACTAGTAGAATTGGTTTTTATTGACTAGTAAAACTTATTGCCTATGCTTTTTACCTTAGGCTTGCAAAATTAAATAAAAATTATTAGCCATTCCAGAAATACTTTTTTGGATTATTGTTGTGTTATGACTTAACTACTTTAAGGACTAAATGTATTTTATGATTTTGAGTGAAAGTACTCACTGTTTATTAACAGTAATATCCACACCCCCTTCATATGCTAATTAACATAATAGTAAAAATGTTACCTGGATCCAAAACGACCTGCCTTTGCTATAGCAGTTGACATTACTTTCCCACCCCAGGGTACAGGTGATGTTAATTAAAGTCTGTTTAGATGTCAGAATTTATAAAGTGGGTGTCTCAACTTTATACCTGATTTTTAAAAAATTTTGGCAGAAGCATGACCACTTCCAGAGTTAGCATGCATATTAATCCTTAAAAGAGTTGATAGTCATTTGACTAAAAACACAATTTCTTTATAAAATTACTTAATACACATTTACTTTTGTATATAGACTAATCAAAGGAAAACAAAATGGCAACTTAAGAATTCAGACATTTTATTTTTTTTATTTTTTTTAAAGATTTTATTTATTTATTTGAGAGAGAGAATGAGAGAGAGAGAGAGCATGAGAGGGGGGAGGGTCAGAGGGAGAAGCAGACTCCCTGCTGAGCAGGGAGCCTGATGCGGGACTCGATCCTGGGACTCCAGGATCATGACCTGAGCCGAAGGCAGTCGCTTAACCAACTGAGCCACCTAGGCACCCAAGAATTCAGACATTTTAGGTAAGACTTGACTTCTGGGCTTCAGAAAGATGTGGAAACTTTTTCTGAAGAAATTTTTCTTTCTTTTTCTCTAAACTTTTCTTTCTTGCTTCAGTGCGGGCTCGTTTCTCAAGTCTCAATCTAGAATAATAAAAGCGTAACAGCAATTTATACAAAACTATTCCCCTGTTATTCAGTACTATCAAAGTATGTCCAAATCAATTACCTAAAAGCCTCAATCATGCCAGCCTCCATCTTAGGTGTGTCATGTAGACTATTAAACTTGAATAATCACTGTAAACCTACACAAGTCAGAGATGAACTTGAAATCAAAACCCTCTGTAATCCTACACCAATTCTATTTCCTACCTGAAAAGAATGAACAGATCATGTGAGCCTGTAAAAGACTGGGCTACCTTTCTACACTTTATTTTAAAAGCACTAGTTTTATTGAATACAACAGATTTTTCTGTACCCTGAGATATATCCTGAGACTTTTAGGAATTCCCTAATTCCAAATAGCACTCAGTCTACCATATCATTTTCCCTACAACAGAGAATAAAACTATACTAAGAGATGATGCTTACATGCTAGTTAGACTCGCCACTCTGTGAGTTTGCTTCTATCCATCAGCATCTTGGAGCATGAAGCATTTGTGCCTCAGCTAAAATTATTTTGACCTCTAAGGTCAATTACGAATCAAAATTGCAAATGATAAATTCATCATGGAGGCCAACCCTCTACTGTACTTAAGATGATATTTTCCAGGATATTTTACTGATCACTAGGCATAAGTTTATATAAAATATAACAAGAATTAAGAGGTAGTGAATAACTTAACAGGCCAGTGCTGTGGGAGAGGTCATAGAAATTTGAGGTAAGAATTCTATCTGGGTGAAGACCAAAATAGGCGTAGATGTTTAAAAATATGATATAAGGTATTTTGTAAATTAAGTATAAAGACTAAGCAAAGGTGAAATCAGATTACCCATTCTATTCATCAGTCTTTGCCCCAACTAAATTTTGGCCATTAAAAAAATCAGTGAACCCATATGAAAGAATAAAGGTTATTCTTAAGAACAGTCAGAAGATTATGCTTCATGCTCTGAAGGTAAGGCTAAAAAAGGAAGTTTCAAAAATAGAATAATTAGAACATGTATAAGGCCTGTAAGAGTGACACTGGATTCATAAATTCTCATATGTTATTTTAAAAGTCAATTATAGCTTCACCTTGTATGACTAAGGGACAAAAGAAACAAATGGCACATTAGGCTTAGAGAAACTGGAGGAAAAAAACAACTGCAGTTGAATTTCTTAATTGCTTAGCATCTGAACTGGGCCTTAAAATGTGAATGGTGGAGAGATTTCAGACCTGTAGATAAAGGAGCAACAAAAGGAAAATGAGCAAAACTATTCAGGAAATAGGAAAGGTATGACTTATGAAGGATACGCAGCTAACACTGAGTTGTGGAAATGGGTGGGAAGGAGTTGGGATTTGTTCTGTAGACAAGAAGCTACTGTAGATTTTTGAACAACACTGATGTGATAAAAAGGTTTGAGGAAAATGAGCCAGGAAGCAATATGTGAATGGACTAGAGTGAGGAAGATGTTCAATAATTCATTCTGATGAAGAGGGAATGCACTAGGGCAGAGATGGAGTACAAAGGACAGACCCTGGAGACCTTCTGCAAGAAGAATTAAATCAAGGATTGACCGCATCTAGAGCACTGATGATGAAAAAGATGAGTGCTACTTAATGCCCATGTAGAATGGACGTACTATATAAAAGGGTTCGGGACCTATTTCCACGGGTGGTGCCCCGCCCCCCAAGCAATTCTCAGACACCAGCAGGATGTCTGAGACTTCAACTTAATTCTGACACTATCTACATGGAAACTGCATCAGAGGTCGTCACCTGTGCTCACCAACCCGCTACAGGCTGGAAGTTCCCACAACTTCCTCCTTGACCTTCAAATGCCAGTTACAAGTCCAGGTTCTTATCTGTACTTCTGACAGGCTGGCTGTAAATCAGAGGTTCCAAAGACCCCTTCTTAGGTTCGATTAATTTGCTGGAGTCGCTCACAGAATTCAGGAAACCCCTTTACTCACCAGATTACTGATTTATTATAAAAGGATATAAACTCAGGAGCAACCAGATAGAAGAGGTGCACAGGGCAAAGAGTGGGGCATCCCACTCTCCTCCAATTTCCAGGTGCTGTTCACCAAAAGTGAAGCTCCCTGAACCCTGTCCTCTTGGGTTTTTATGGAGGATTCATTACATAGGCATGGCTGATTAAATCACTGGACACTGGCAACTGATTCCCCTCCAGCCCCTTTCCCCTCTCCAGAAATCAGGGAGTGGGACTGAAAGTTTCAACCATCTATTCAAAGTTGGTTCCTCTAGCAACTAGTCCCCATCATTAGGTGCTCTCCAAAAGTTACATCATTAACGTAACAAAAGATGCACTCCCCTCACCCTAGCACCCTTTCATGCGATAACATGAGCTATGTTATGCAACTGAAGTATCTGGACCTTCCTTTTCACATTACAGAGGGATTTAATCATGTACTTACATACAGATTGATGAATAATAGAAGGGCAATATAAATTTTTGAAAGGATATACACTAGAACGTTAACAGAAGCTATTTCTGGATGGTGAGATTATGGAAGACTTTCATCTTTTCTACCTGATTCTTCTCCATCTTTTCTACCTGATTCTTCTATTTTTTCCCACAATGTACATGTATTACTTACGTAAAAGCTTAACTTGTGTTAAGTTTCATTATTAAGGGTATTTGTGCTCACCTGACAAAACGTTCCACATAGGGCATTGCAAAGAATCGTTTCCTATTGTATCTTTTATTTAGGTACCAAGGTATAGGCCACTGCTTGAATTTGTGCCTGCCAGGAAAACAAAAAGGTACTGCCTTAATAGAAAATATTTAATATATTTTTCACTTTTTTACAAACAGTTTTAACCATCTTTGAGCTAAATATGTTTTCAATAAAATGAGATGTAACTGGCTTTCTTTTTTAAACTGGCTTTTAAAAGATTTTACAGGGGCACCTGGGTGGCTCAGTTGGTTAAACGTCCGACTCTTTATTTCACCTTAGGTCATGATCTGAGGGTCATGAGATCAAGCCCCATGTCGGGCTCCGTGCTGAGCATGGAGCCTGCTTAGGATTCTCTTTTCCTCTGCCCCTCCCCCTGCAATAATATTAATATAACATAATATGCCACATGTTCTTGTTGACAGAAAAAAACCCTTAGATGAAGTGTTTTTAAGAAGGAGCTCTGCATTTTAATAGGCTATCTTAAATATTTTAACATGCAATAGAAAATTAGGAAAAGGCACTGGAATTATGTCTGAGTTAATAAGCTACATTGGAAAGATGACATCATTGCTTTGTTTACTACTTTGTTTAGCTCTGGAAAGTTAAAAAGCAAAATTTTAAAAAATCTGGAAGAGAATAGCACTCATCCAGATTCTAATATTGACACAGATTATCTCCTTTATCCTCACCCTTTCCTAACTGACCTCAACTGGATTAATCCAAATAAAAATTAGTAAAAAATAAAGTTTCTAGTTAGATGTTTTGGTAATTTCTCTTTCCTGTATTGGATTACACAGTTACGGACATACAGCTACTCCCCTACATTTGGCTCCAAGCAGCCCCATTACTGCAAACTCCATTAAAAGATCCTATCTAATGAGTAAGCACTATTATGTGGTTTACTTTCAGGAGTGCACGGAAAGTCTCCAACCACCCATGATGCCTTCTTCATTTTGCTGACTGATGTTTAAAATTCTACTAAGTATGCTTCCTTTTAGAAGCTCAATCCAAATGTCAATACAACCCTGGGTCTTCTCAATTATTTACACCTCAGTTTGAATGTTTATTATCAGATCCTTTCCCAAGGTCTGACAGAACTTCGGGAACTAGAGAGACAAAAGGTGGAAAGTTGTAATGAAAATAAACTGTTTCATAATTTGGACTAGGGCTTATCCCGATGGCAATGGGAGCAAACATTGAAATGGGTTCATATGGCCTTATTCCTTGAGAACTTCCTTTTTTTTTTGAGAATTTTTTTAAATCTCAGGGTTTTTTGTTTTTTTATTTTAAGATTTCTTTCTTTCTTTATTTGACAGAGAGAGAAACACAGAGACGGAACACAAGCAGGGGGCGTGGGAGAGGGAGAAGCAGGCTTCCCGCTGAGCAGGGAGCCCAGTGTGGGGCTCGATCCCAGAACCCCTGAGCCGAAGGCAGACGCTTAACGACTGAGCCACCCAGGTGCTGCATAAGTCTCAGGTTCTTAATGGGCAGGTATGTGTCCTAAAATTAGCTTCATGGTATTTATAACTCTTTGAAATTACATGTGCACATGTACATTTTTCTAGGGAAAGGATCTATAACTTTAATCAAATTCTCAAAAAGTCATATGACTGACATAAGTTAGGAACTACTGTTATAAAGAACCTACAAGTAACTGAATCATGAGAATGGGGTGCCTGGCCTACCAGATAATGTTACCTTCATTCATATCCTGGGGCCCCAATGGGGCCTGGGGACCTCTGTTTACATTAGATACATCTATAATATATTTCATATGGTGAGAGTTTTTGTAAAAGATACTGGACAGGAGAATAAGGCATGAGACTGCCACTCTCATCTTAGAAAAACCACAGTGGAAACTATGTACCAGATGATTCTTCCAAAGATGTCTCTTCTCCAAGCACCAGGTCTAGCTTTTTCTTGACCAGTCTGAAGAAGTCTTAGGGCATCTTCTCTTTCCTGGACAACCTTATCTAATGCATCCATGGAATCTATTACCTGGTAAGAGAATAAGAAGATGTAATTTCAACAATCACCTACAACAAATACCAAAAAAAGAGAGAGAGAACACATAAAGACAATGCTACAGAAAACCTTAATGAATATTTTTGTCAAAGAACCATTCTGGGGGCGCCTGGGTGGCTCAGTCGGTTAAGCGTCTGCCTTCAGCTCGGGTCATGATCCCAGGGTCCTGGGATGGAGCCCCTGCATTGGGCTCCTTGCTCATTGGGAAGCCTGCTTCTCCCTCTCCCTCTGCTGCTACCCCTGCTTGTGCTCTCTCTGTCAAATAAATAGATGAAATCTTTAAAAAACAAAAAACCATTCTGCCAAATATTACCTAAAAATCTTTTTGGCACAGGTATGTATACATGGGTGTTTACAATATCACTTTTTGTAATTTTTTAAAAGTTTAGTTTCATTTATTTTTTAAAAGATTTATTTATTTGAGAGAGAGAGAAAGAGAGAGAACCTTCGTGTGCACGCAAGTTGGAGGGGCAGAGGGAGAGAATCTTCAAGCAGACTCCCGCTGAGTGTGAGCTTGACTCGGGGCTTGATCTCACAACCCATGAGATCATGACCTGAGCTGAAACCAAGAGCCAGATGCTCAAACAACCTAAGCCACCCAGGTGCCCCAAAAGTTTAGTTTCATTTAAATGAAGTTCTACTTAGCTGAGATTTCCATATATATGTATTAGTTTTGCTTGGAGTGGGATACACTTGCAGAGATTCCTTATGGCGACCCCATTTGACTCCTGTTATTTCAAAACTCAATGAATTATTAAATGATAAGAGTTTGCTAAAACCCATGTTTTGGCCTCAACTAATCAGTGTGCCCTAACACACAGACACTGATATTTTGACCTAATTGGCAGCCGCTACTATTACAGAGAATGGATTATCAGTCTACCCCGACCCTAATCTCTATAGATCCATCAAGATGGAAGAAGATCCTATTAGGACCTCTATTCTTATCTCTTTCTTTTAACATTTTTATTGAGTTTTACAATGCATATAATAATATACTGGTAAGGCAATATATATATTTTTATAAATAAATATTCATATTTGGGGACTATAATGACAGATGAGCTAAATTTTTTCATAGCTCTTAATACTGAGAGGCATTTTTAGCTGGTTGTTTTATCTGTGAGCATCGTAACAAACAGAAATATTGCACATACATATTTGTTTCTTAAAAGAGCTCTCAAAAATGGGGGGGGGGAGAGGAGGGACGACAGATTAGATTATAATCTTCCAGAGGCACATGAGTGGCTCAGTCGGTTAAGCGTCTGACTCTTGATTTCAGCTCAGGTCACGATCTCAGGGTCATGAGATCAAGCCCCACATTGGGCTCCATGCTGGGTGTAGAGCCTACTTAAGATTCTCTCTCCCTCTCCCTCTGCCCACCACCCCCACATGCACAGGTGCGCACACTCTTAAAAAAAAAAAAAGTCTTCTAGTTGGCTGCAAGACCCAAAAGAGATATGAAAGTCACAAATTTAGATAGACTACCTCATAACCTGTATACTCAGCTCACACTCAGTGCTTCTATTCTCCCTTCTTCAAAGCCACATTGAGCAGCTGAATCCACATGCACTTCCTCTTAACTATATGAATTTCTACAAAATCTCTGAGATATAAAAGATGGGTGAGAATAGTGAATCCTATTTTGAAGACAGACAAACTCAGAACAGTGAAGAAACCAGACTGGTCAGGGCCTAATACGAAGCTGTGTAGCTCTTAGGAACTTAGTAAGCCTGGCTGTGAACCGACTACATTAGAGTTCTCCCATGCAAGGTTACTTCTGGGGCTCCTAACTGAAATCTAATGTTAGTGCACAAAGAAAGCAAATGGCTACCCAGTCCACAGAGTTAACATCCGATTACTCATGTTCATGCCACCAGATAAGAAGGAAAATCAGAAGTATCAATTAGATACACCTTATTCAAAACAAGCCAACCTCAAAGAGCTTTCTTTCCTTTCTAGTTTAACTATTCCAGAGCTTAGAGTGTCCTTACACACTTCCAAATCTTCAGGTTTTATCTTAAATTGAGAATAATTCTTTGTATTTTTCTTGATAAATTTTCCTTAGTAGTATGTCACAAAACATGGAGAAGACTCCATACATTCGAGGCTTAAAAAAAATTACTGCTTTCAGTTTATCTGGAGAAAATGTTATTTTTGGATTTCACTTATTCAGAAAATGCAATACATTAAGAGGACCTATGGGGATGAAGTTCACTTCTGAAATATATTTTTTTTAAAACAGGGATAGGGGATAGTCTACCTCTGAAGTTTAAAAATCTTAGAACAAGCAAAAGCTTCTTCACCAAATAAACAATGTGCTATTTATAAATAGCCAATGCACTTTTATTAAGAATCTCTTGGCTCAGTCGTCTTGGTTAAGCGTCTGCCTTCGGCTCAGGTCATGATCCCAGGGTCCTGGGATTGAGTCCCACGTTGGGCTCCCCGCTCAGCGGGGAGTCTGCTTCTCCCTCTGCCTATTCCCCACCCTTGGCTCATGCTTTCTCTCTCTGACAAATAAATAAATAAAATCTTAAAAAAAAAATCCCTAAAACATAACTTTCCTTAATAGCAGAATTAGCAAATATACCTGAAAATAAAATCTCAATTCTTTACAAATGTTGTGTAGCAATGAGGACACCTACCACCCAGATCTTAGTTTCTAAAAAATCACTCTCCAGTAAAAGGAATCAGGGTATTCCTCTGTAAAATGGCTGATTCCAGGGCTGGGGCAGGAAAAGTACAAAATGAATCCAGAACAACTTGCTGTGCCTTATGAAAGAATGATGAGAACACAGAGGCCAGTGTGAAGGAACCCACACTGGCCATTTAGGTTGGGATGATGGTATTAAAGAATTATAACTCACTGAATAAAACTGGAATCTAGGAGTCCATAGTGATAGGAAAGACGGAAGAAACAGAAGGGAAAACTATTCCTTTAGAAAAAAGCTAACCAATAAACAGAATGAATTGTGGGATGAGAAAATCATCACTTAGCAAACATCATAGTAATAACTGATCAACAGATGCTAAAACTAGTGAATACAAGTTTGAGGAATTACAGGATATTTACATGATCTCAATACAAAGAAAAATGAGTAACTATATATACAGTGGAGAAACCTGGCAGATACCACACTAACAAAATCATTAATGTCAACACCAGTAACAGAAAAAAATCCCCATCCTGTGACTAATATCATACACTGTGAAGAACACAGTATCACCCCCATGATATTTCTGCCAATCATCATGATTATAAGGAGAAACATTATACAAATCCAAATTGGCCTATGCTCTTCAAAAATGTCAATGTCCTGACACACACAGACTGAGTATCCAGATCAAAGGAGACTAAAGAGAACAACTGAAAACAAATGATCCAGGGTTTTTTTTTGCTATAAAGGATGTTGTTAGGATAACTAATGAAAGGGATCTGCAGATCAGGTAACAGTACTGTATCAGTGTTAATTTCCTGATTTTAGAAATTGTACAATAGTTATATAAGGAAATATCCTTGTTTTTTTGGGCAACATATACTTAATTATTTATGGATAAAGGGACAGCATGTATATAACTTACTGTTAAACTTCTGAAGAAAAAAATGTGTTATTTAGAGAAGAAGGCAGAGAAGGATAAAGCAAATGTGATAAAATATTCACTTGGGGAAACTGAGTGAAAATTACCTCTGTACCATTCTCTTCTCTGTCAGTCTCATGTCAAAATAAAGTTTAAAAAAACAAGTATGCTATGGAATTCTAGTTAGGGTAAATAACTGAGATGTTACTCTCTACCTTCTTGGACTCTCTGCAGGAATATTAGGTCCTCCCCTCTTAGAGGCAGAGACGGCCGCGAGTAGTGTGGGGAAAGGAAAGCGAAAGACAGCTGAGGCCAGGCAAACAGCTGAGCTGTGTTCTCACTGACTACTTACTCTGGCACAGACACATCAACAAAAAGCTCACTCGCAAGCAATCCAGGCAAAAAACCCTGAGAAATCTAACTAAATAAACCAAAACACTTCGACATGGAAGAACTAGCTTACACGTGTACAGCCACGAAAAAGAAAAGGCAGATCTACATATACTGATAGGGAAAGATATCCAGGTATACCAGGTAAGTGCAAGACGCCAGTGTCAGAGGAGTTTATACAGTATAACCAAATCAGAGGAATTATTTATTGTAAATAAGAATAGTTAGGCATACTTCTACATGCAGAGAAAAATTCTGATGGATAAATAGGAAATACGTATGACTGATTACCTCTAGGAGTGGAAATAATGAACCCAGGGCATTTTTTTTTTTAAGTAGGCTCCATGCCCAGCAGGAAGCCCAATGTGGGGCTTGAGCTCATAACTCTGAGATCAAGACCTGAGCTGAGATCAAGAGTTGATCGCTCAACTGACTAAGCCACCCAGGTGCCCTGGGATTTTTTTTTTTTTAATGATGAAGAAAACCTAATTTGAATAATAGTTGACCTTTTCACAACAATGTGAATATATTTTTTTTTTTTTACAATGTGAATATTCTTAACACTACTGGACTATACATTTAGAAATGACTAAAAAGGTAAGTTTTATGTTATCTGTTTTTTACCACAATAAAAAAAAAGTATTAAAAACTTTGACCTGGTTCATAAGGAAGTAAACTGGAACTAGAAATGTAAAATGGTGCAGCTACTTTAGGAGAACAGTTGGGCTGTTTCCTAAAACATTAAACATAGATTTACCATACAACCCAGCAATTTCACTCCTAGGTATCTACCCAAGAGAAATAAAAACACGTCCACATATCTATTGAGGTTTGCAGGTGGGAATGGGGAGTGACTATAGATGGGCATGACACTTCATTTTGGGGTGATGGAGATGTTCTAAAATAGTGAAGGTTGCACAACTCTGTACATTTACTAAAAATCCAACTTATTAAAAAAAGAAATCTACTTGCCAAAAAAAGAAATAGGAACCATACACTTACATCTTTTGGCTTTTATCCCATCCAACAGTCTCCAGTCTCCCATAAATGTTACCTTTTCTAACCGCTCCGGACTTGGCATTGGCAAACTCTGCCGCTTGGCCTCCTGCTCTAGAGTTAGGAGCATGTTTCTTTCTTTCAGTAGGACATACCTATAGCAAAGAACACAAAGCTTGTAATGCTATCCTATGGTTACATTAAGGTTGTAAATTTTTTGAAAGATTTATTTTAGACAGACAGAGCGAGAGAGAGCAAGTAGGGGGAGGGGCAGAGGGAGAGAATCTCAAGCAGACTCCGGGCTGTGTGCAAAGTCCCTCTTGGGGCTTGATCCCAGGAGCCATGAGATCATGACCTGATGCGAAACCAAGAGTTGGACACTTAACTAACTGAGCCACCTGGGTGACCCTGAGGTTGTAATTTTTGACATAAAAACTAATGATCTGTACTCAAAAGTCCTTTAGAATATCATTACAGAGAATTATCCTTTAAACAAAGCTGTATTGATTCTTATTCGTTTAATAAATTTTCCATTTGCCACATACTGTATTGTCAAGAGAGTGTATAAAAAAGCATAAACAAAATGTCCCTACATTCCAAGTAGAGAAGATGGAAGATAATATGTATTTGGTGCCTATTATATGCCAGGCAACATGCTAAGCATTTTATATATATTACCTCATTTAATTCTCACAACAATCCTTTGAGGTTGGTACTATTTCCACTTTCTAAAAGAAAAAAGGCTGACAGAAGTAAGCTATTCTGGGGCACATAGCTAATTCAAGATTCAAATTCTGGACTCCTTGCGTGCATAATTCTTTTTATTTTTACTCCACTATGCTGCCTCAGAAATTGTAATGTGATGTGGTGTATTAAGTGGCATAGACAAGTACCAGAAGAATTAAGTGGGAGGGAGGGGACACATCTCTAGCTAGGATGATCAAGAAAAGCTTGAAAGATGGGATTTGATAGACTGGAAAGGAAACCAAAGCAAACATAACCAAATTTACTGAAGCGGCAGAGCTGAAGTGGGGTAGGTTTTGTGAATAAATCTGTTTGAGATTTAGAGCTGGAACAAAGGAAAGAAAATAAATGTGGAGGGCACTGAAAATGACACAAAGGCATTGGGGTATCAAGCTATGCAAGGTGATTTTGGGGAAGGAACTGGCAGAAGATAAACTGGTTTTAGCCAAGATGAATACTGAACAGTCCTGACTAGCCCTTTACCAATAACTTACAATAACAATGCTTTTATACAACTAATTTTTCTATAACGAATCTTTGCTGTTTTACACATAACACTTCTGATACCAAATGAAAAGTTTTTTTCCATCCTGACGCCAAATACGTGTTGACTTTTCCAACACCACTTCTCCAACACTCTGACACTCCCTGTAGAGCCGGATTCCACAGATTTAAGGCTTCAGTCCCCTAAGACTGTCCCCCACTTTACATGCCAATAGCAAGTTCCAGCCCCCCCAGACATGTGACTGACAGCTATAAACTGGGCTTCAGTGCCATTTGGGACATCTTTCAATCTTCCCAAACTTACTTTTTTCAAAACTGAACTGGACAGCCATGGATCTAAAATTGCCAAGACAGAATGGGACTGATTGGTATTTTGAAACTTCCAAATATTATTAGGAATCTAAAATTGCCTCTCTGCCAAATACAATTTCTAGACTAACAGGCAAACAATTAAAAAGACAAAAAGGCTTCCAAGGTCTTTCCCCTCTTATCTTCTTTGTCTCAGGATGTGCAGCAGCCACTGTGTTTAGGCCCCACATCCAGGGCCGTCCTCCTTCCCTTCTGCGCTGCCTCCCCCTCTGCACCCGCCATTTCCCCATGCCAGTTCTCTCACCAAACTTCCCTTTTCCTCTAAACCTTTCCTCCTCTCTCCTTTCCTTTCCTGAACCCGAATTTGAAGTTAAGTCTTCTGAGGATCTAAATAAACCCCACATATCTATGTTCACTGAACTAAGGCTGAATTGCAAGCCATAGTTAAGAAGAATTCTCTAAAGTGACTGAGGACACCCAGAGGTTAGCTGAAGAATTTAGCATTGTCATTCAAACTCACCAACCCGGTCTCTCAGATTGATAATTAGTTCATATCCTTGTTGGTGAGGGCTAGGCCAAACACTAGATGAAACTAGCTCAATGGAAACATCGTAAAAGGATTTTGAGAAACAGATCCCTAACTTTTGGCAAGATGCTAGGACACTCACTGGAAATCTCCACCAAGCAATTACAGTACTTTTTCCTAAGCCTGTTGACTAGAATGAAATGCAGGCTTATACACAAAAGTCTGGTTAATCTGTCATTACTATTATAATCGACTCCAAATTGTCTTTTTAAAAAATTTTATTGTTATGTTAATCACCATACATTACATCATTAGTTTTTTTTTTTACATCATTAGTTTTTGATGTAGTGTTCC